TGAAGTTTCCTACAATGAAAATTCCTGAGGCGAGTTTTCCTACGGCAAAAAAAATGTTAAAGGGTGGATGTTCCAGATATGCGAAATTTTTAATGATGCAGGGACAATATTTTTATGATATCAGTTTATTTTATTGCACTTCTCGCTTGCAGAATTCTTTTCTGGCTTCTTATTTTCCAAATATTTTTCCTGGCTTCTTACTTTCCAGTCAACTTTCTCATTGATTTTAAAAAATTAAATATGATCATTAATTTCTGTTTTAATTCTCATTCATTTCATTCTCTCCTTAATAGTGTTTGTTTTTTTTTTTCTCTCATATTTTCTAACACTCAGTAATCTCCTGCATCTTAGTGGCTTTATTGTCTTGCACTGGGTGGAATGATTTAAAAAAAAATAAAATTAAAGGTTACTTAATGTATTCTTTTTAGTTTACTAGAACATTCAAATCCCAAATCTCATCAGGTGAAGGAAAATAAGGGAAAGATGTTGAGAGGTTATTGATTGGAAGTTGGGGTTTAAAAAAAAAAAAAAATCAGAAAATGTAGTATTCTACAGTTTCTAAACAAATTATACATTAAAGCAATCAGTACGGCATTTGTACAATTTTTCTTTGGACCCTTAAAAAAGGCAGGGGGATAGAAATGGAAGAAAATGGGCTAAATTTGATATTTAAGATGAGTTTTAACTGGTTTGCTATCATTTCCCATTAGGCTATGAAATTTTCTTCATTACAGAGGCAAAAAGCAAAAATATTTTTTCTACTGATTTGCATATTCACTAAAAGACCCTGGAGTTGATTCAGCATTGGTAAAAGCTTCCAAATAAAATTCAACTAGCACAAAGCCGATCAAATATATAAAAAAAAAAAAAATGTAATTCTACCAAATGGGTGGGGAGAGGAAATCTAAATGAAGACATACCTACCCTAAGTTCTTATTGTTTTACAAATGTATTGAGAAAAACTCAGTAACAATTTGGACCTAGTCTCTTTGTACTGTTTTGTTTAGTGCATATATATATATATATATATGAGTTTGTGACCCTGGGTTTCATGCTTTTGTAATCGTCATGTATGATCACAAACTCATATTCATACAACTTATGTTAGCTCTATATTCAGCACTTTCCACTAAGTACTGTGTGTGTGTGTGTGTGTGTGTGTGTGTGTGTGTGTGTGTGTGTGTGTGTGTGTGTGTGTGTGTATATATATATATATATATATATATATATACACACACACACACACACATGCAGTAGTATTAAAGTGTGCAATACATATGTCAAAAACAAAAGTAAAAATATGTAGGGCTTTTAACTTTAAAGTGTGTGTATGTATATATATATATATATATATATATATATATATATATAGAGAGAGAGAGAGAGAGACAAGAGTAAAAACTATTCTTAGCTGACATGTTTTGTCCACTGAGGAACTTTATCAAGGTTTTCAGATTTGAGAATATTCATGAATATTCATCAGCTAGTTGAAAGGTCAGTCAAAACATATGGAAGACACAAAGTGCCATAATTCAAAATCTGGCAAAAAGTAACCGAGTAATATTTAAGAATTTTTTTTTATTTTCAAATGAATATTGTTTAAATTGTGATTAGATTGTGCTGTGAATCTTCAGACACATGAGGTGATGGATTTAACCACTGTATTTTTCAACATATTTATTGTTGTGAATGTTGGCTTGGGAAAGTAGGAATTCTTTGAATTATGACGCTTTGTAACCTCCACATGTTTTGACTGACCTTTCAACCACCTGATAAATATTCATGAATGTTCTCAAATATTAAAAGCCTTGATAAACCAATCATATCCTTGCTTTTGTATGTAAACATGTGCATCTAAATAAATCCTACATTGCCTTGATAAAATTCTTCAGTGAACAAAATGCATTGGCTCAATAGTTTTTCCTCATCTCCATTTATTCATTTTGTTCCTGTACATGCACACTCTATCTGAAAATAATATATGTAATGTGTGTGTAAATCTATTTAAACTCAGTAAATGAAAAAACTTGGGTAGCACAATTTTCAAACAAATTAGCATCCAAGGGGGAAAAAAATTAGAGTAAAAAAAGAAAGCACCAGAAACCTCCGAACAGGTCAAAAGAAATCATCCAGTACCTTAAATTTCTGGCACAAAGAATAAAAAAAACACTAGTGAGTAATAAGTTAAAACAAAGAGTGCTCTCTATGCTAAGTAGAGCAAAAGTAAAATAAATAAATTCTAATGAGCCAGGTACTACCTACCTATGTTTCACCACATGGGATCATCAGTGTGAACTGGCTAAGGAAGAATTAACAAGGAACAAATTTATTGATAAAAATAACAGCTAAAACTTAAAATTAGCACCAGCTTAAGAAGACACAAAACATGATTAAAAAAAAAATTTGAATTCCAGTGAATTGCCAATTTTTGCATTTTGAAACTGTATTGCATTGATCAGGGATTTACATTAGATTTCATGATTTGCCAAAAAGAATTGGTTGAAGGGGTCATGCCATTCTGATGACAAAAATTTGCAACTACCTGTTTGTATGTTGAGCAGTGAACACTTAAATCTTGTGAAACAAGTTGATGTTTGCTTATTCATGATAATACCTCATAAAGCATATTCAGTTTTTACAAAGATTCAAAGAAGAAGCACAGAGAGATCAGAAGGATGATTATCTTTAATCTGATCTCTCTGTGCTTCTTCTTTGGAAAGTTGGCAGTAATAACATCAAAGGCCAACCACAGATGAACAAGATTTAACATTGATAAACATGGTGATGCAAAAGTATTATCAGAAAGCTTAGTAATCTTTCTACATTGATTATGGTACCTGCCATAAAATCTGATCTTGTATATCAGTACTAATACAAGTCAAACTGACTATTCTACTATTGTAGCCTTTTGACACAGTAAATATAACCTTGATAAATACCAATTTTTTTTTTTTCTATTTTGTTTTTTTAGATCTTAACATGGTATAAGAGAAAAAAACTTTATCAGATGTTGGTTGAACTTGAGTCAATCTGATGGCATTATTGAGTCAAACTTGATTAACATTCAACTGGATAGCAAGAAAATGGGTAGCCATTGTTTTATGGCAAGTTTTGCTTGAATCTCATTTTATGGTAGAAATTCACTTGCTTCAAAGTTCCTGAAGATTTTTGTTGTTGGCTGGCTTTTGATATTTTAAATTTTATCACAGACTTTTATGGCAATGCATCTAATTCTGTAACTTGACGTGCTTAGTTGCTGAGGTTTGGACTAAACTTTTTTTCTTTTTTTTTTTACTTCTGGAAAATGTTTGATTTGTGATTAAGAGAAGTGTTTGGTTTAAGTGCTTGCTAAAACTGTTGAAAAGATATTCTTTGTATATTATAGTTTTGCTTTGTTTTAATATGAAGGACTTATTGATTTACTATAATATGCATGATACATAGATTTTTGATTAGTTTTGTTGTAAAACTTTAAAAATTATTAACTACCTTTTTTTTTCTCCAGTAGTAAAAAAAAAAGTGGGAGCATGTTTAGACAAAATGATTAGAAATCAATTTCCAAGGACTTAAGTTTAGCTTAGTTTGACATGGTTTACAATAATGGGGGGGGGCACAGTAAGGACTGAAATCAGACTAGTAATAGGCAGTTACAGCATTCATCAATTAGATATGCAATAAGTATCATTATAATATACTTTGAAAAGCTACATGTTCAAAACAATTGATCTTTAGAGCTCTTCTGCTTCTTGAGTTAAGAAATTTCATTAAGCTGTCTCAAATTATAAAAAAAAATAAACAAAACTTTAAAATGCAGATATTATTTTATAAAACCTGGTTGAAAGAATTTGTATGACACGAGTGATCATTGAAAAGTTGGTCTGTCCACATATTCTTCAAGAAGTTCAACTCAGCACATGATTTCTAAACTTTAAGCTATTTTTTTTTTTTTTTTAAAAAAAAAAAAAATCTGAAGTTTTGATCCATGAAATACTGATTTTTAGAAAGTGCATTAAACACTTTAACACTCATTATGAAAGTGGGGTATCGTAAATGTGTTCGGAAATAAGGTAGTTTTGTGGTGACCATTTGAGACATTACTGAATTTTCTGTAACTGGTCATTATAATTTCCTACTTGATTTTGTAACTCAGCAAAATGTTGGAACAGTTGTTATTTCAAATATTTATTTAAAAAAATGGATAGAAGACAACTACTTAGCAAAAAAGATACACAGCTGCCATTTTATCAATATTCACTCAATACAAGGCCCAAGAGCCACTCAAGTTAGGTTACTAAATAAGTTGTGTGGTATGGAAATAAGAGGAGGAAGTAGTAAATTAAGATTATAAGAAGATAAGATAATGAATGACACTGGAGCTAAAGAGGCTAATATTGTAATGTCCAGGGGAAGTATCTTTGTGGGATTATATTCAACAAAGTAGCACTTCTTGGGTTAAAAGATGGAGTTGGGATCAACTTTTGTTTTGGAAGATCCATATTTCATTCTGCTGTTTGCTTTTTTTATGGATATAATTTGGTATGGAGGTAGGTCAAAAATCTGGGTAGTGAAATGGCTACACCTACAAGAAGTATATGCTTAAAAATTACCTGGATTAATTTTCAGAAAGCCCCCCCCCCCTGTAACTGTACACTTCACTATAGAATCAACTGTGCCCAGTTGGGCCTCTTAAGATCCCCTTCCCAAAATACCAATACAGACACACCCTGATATTATACATCTGCTGGTGGGGGATAGCCTCCACCAAAGAAACTCTGAGATTCTAATCCCTGGATATCGGGTACTTAACACCAACGCAGAAACATATTTACCTGTAGCACCGAAAATGAAGAAATAATTAAGGAGCAAGAAGAAAGATTTGGATGATGTGTGGTAAGCACATTTCATCCATCTATTTACTGTATTTTCCTTTCCTATTGGCTGACATTAAAGAGAATCTCCAGTGAAAAAGAACCTTTTGGGAAAATGAAATTCTCGGGTCTATGGCTGTAGGTAATTTCCACCAGTTCGTTCCTCTTCTTTTTCATAGAAAGAGTAAAATTGTGTATCTGTGTGGTACTGTTATCTCCTTTAGTATACTATGGAATATCATAGGTGGCAAAAGTGATATGCTGCACAGTGTTGGGTGGAGATGTATTGGGAAATTCCCAGGAAACAGGATTGGTAGAACTCTAAACAGTGAGTGTAAAGATATTAAAATACTGTCTGTATTTTGTTGTTTTTTTTGTTTTTTTGCCTCTGTCAAGCTATTTTCTTAATGACTGTCAAGTACTTTTAGTCTTTCATTAAACAAATAATGAATAAAAATGTCGTCTATGAAATACTCTAATTGAAAAGAATAGTAAGTAATTTCTTAATATGTTCTTTCTGGTAATCACCCCCTTTCTAATAGAACAAACCTCTAACTGCAATGGTTGTTTAGCAAATGTATCTTGGTTAAGAAATTAATTTGCTTGTGGAGAGAGGAAAAGATGATAGTTTGACTCATAAAGAATTATATCAACTTTTTCAGGCAAATTTTTTTTTTTTTTTTTTTTTTCTTCTATTTTAAACACCTTTCATCTTTTGATCAGGATGCATACTAAACAAAATGGCTGCATAAAATATAAGCCTACGTGCTCTTAGACAGAAGATAAAAAAAATGTCCGTATTAAAAATAACTCATTTTACAGATATCAACACTACAAAAGTGAGATTAAATTTAACCCAACATCCTTTAGACTGAGATTTTTTTTTTAGCATGCACTCTATAAACGTTATCCCTTCATAAAGTCATAAATACATTTGTATGTATAATGTTAATAGTATTCTATATTTTGTATATCTTTCAAAAATGTGGATATGTAATGGTGGGGAATACGAGTCAGTATATCTGTTATTAGCAGACAAAATGAAATCGGGAAATCAAGACAAAATTTTGGCTGAAGTTGTTTATTTAATTCAATATGCTGTTTGATACGTAGGCAAGTGGAGACATCCATCTTGTCTCTATCGAATTATCAAAGTACTCAAATTTTTTTTTTTAAATATGCTGATGTATATTAAAATCCTCACAGTATTTAGTATTGTTGAAGTTATCGCTAATTGTTTTTGTCAAGATTTACATACACTACATTTCGTTCAATTTCACAAATTAATCGATGAAATTTGAATAAGCTGATTTGTTTGGAAAAATACTTTGACAAAAACCCTACTTTGTGGTTTTTACACACCCTAGTAAAACCACTTGTACTTTGCCTGTTTACACTTCTCCCCAAAATTTGGTTTTGATTGTTCAGTGTATCTCTATTTTAGAGGATGTGATGGCCAGATGGACTAACAGAAGTCACAGAATTTTATATGTAGATAAATGTCATTCTGATAACATTCTCCAGTACACACACACACGCTTTGATAAAGTCCCTCAGAGGATAAAATACGTCAGTTAAGTTATTCATATTGTTCTTTTTGCAGATATATTCTATCTGAAATTAATTTATTTATATATATATATATATATATATATATATATATATATATAATCTTGTAACCTAGAAAAGGTTACTGAATAAAAAATAAACAAAATGAAGGTTGTAAATGGAATGGTAATCTTTTATAACATTAACAATATACAAGTGCTTACTGTAGCAGTGTGTAGTAAGTAATCCATTGCTAGTGGTGAATAACCCCACCCCAGACAGTATATTCTACTGTATTTATGAGTATTGGGACATACCCATTACAGTCCATAGGTATGGTATAAGACATACATACATATATATATATATATATATATATATATATATATATATATAGTAATGGCAAGATTAGCTGCCCCCATAGAGAAATTTTTCAGGAAATTAGACTTCTCAATTCCATTAAGTATTCTTACTCTTTCTTCTACTGATGGAAGTTTTCTTCCTAACCTTTTGTTTAAGGACATGTAGAAAGTTAATAGCTTGCTTAAATCATTATTTTCTTTTCTACTTCCATGTGCTGCTTGTTTGTATTTGTTGAGGTTGAAAGTGTTCAAGTGATGTAGTTTTTGTTATTTTTGTAAAGCTTGTTGTTAGTGATTCTGTAGCACCAGTCTGTACAGTTTGATGAAGGATTGTCTTGAGACTGAAAGGATTGTATATTGATGACAGAGATTACTGATGTCATGCATGACATCCACATGAGAGTCTAAATCTGTGGTTATTTAAGAACACGACTCTAGTTATTTGGTTAATGTTTTAGTTTAGTCACATCTTTTGGTGTTGGCAAAAGCCGCTCTATCACAACCTACCCTGTATTCAATTTTTTATACTAACCAAATGACCAAGCATTTTTTTTAAGGAAAATGGGGGTCAGGTCAGGAACTTTTCGACCCCGTATTTATTTGGGAGATTCACATCACACATTCTTTCATTTCCATTGAAATAATGACATTTATATAAAATTAGCAAAAACCTGTTTTTTGTTCTTTGACATAACTGGATTTATTTTCAAAGCTTTGCTTACTTTATCTTTTTTTTTTTTAAATAATTAAAGATCTATAAAAATTGATTAATTAATTAGGATATTGGAAAAGTTTTCTCCAAAATAAATTATCAGCTGTAAAGTTTAAAAGTTACAAAAAGGCAGCTTTTAAATTTTCCTTACCATAATCATTATAATAAAAATGAATGAGTACAATTAGTTAGTAAAGAATTTGTCAAATATCACAGAAATAATCTTCAACGAATTCCAAAGTTTATCCATTTTTATTTAGAGTGGAATTATGATTTTATAATTTCAATGTTTTAGGAATTTGATTTATGAGTCAGTTGACTGATTCAGATTACAGATAGAAAAAAATTGGGACAAAAATGGTGTCATTCTAGAGCAGATTGAGATGCTTTTTTTAGGCATCATTAAACTCATGTCATGCTTTGACAAACAAATCAACATATTGCAAAGATTTCAATTCAATTAACCTTTTTTTTTAAACAGGGAAAAAACTGACTCAATGCAACATGCAAATGAAAAAAAAATTGTTTTTAAAGTTCTAAGATTGACTCAAGCTATTTTGTAATACAAAGATTGTAATTTATTAACGCATGCATAATCTGATGTGTTTATGTAAATCAATAAGTTCAGTTTATTTTTTCAACATAATTTCTTTCCTTGTCAGTGCAATTCATTCAGTGGGGAATATTTATCATATACACCAAATATACAGTGAAAATTTCAGATCAAATTCAGCTCCACTATTGAATTACTAATGCACCTGCTCTATATATATATATATATATATATATATATATATATAGGATGTAATAATCCACTGGTATATAATCAAAGTGAATACTAATAAGATTAAATCTGATCCACAAAGAGACCTCAATGTATTTATTATAACAGAGCATATATAAATAAATTACATAGAATAGAAATTCAAAATTACCCCATTTAAATAGCTATTTCACCCTACAAGAACTTGTAGGCTTTGTCAACACAGAGGGTTGAAGAAATAAATTAAATAGTAGTTTAAAAATTTAAACATTTAAAGAAAGAAGAGAAAAGAAAGGAGAAAGAAGAATACTACAGAGGAAGCAGCAGATCATATAGACATAACTTAAGCCCAATTTCATAGCTGGTTACTCATATTCAAGGATACCCGTCTACTAAAGCAGCTAGCTAATCCCTATTGCAGACGCTTGCTCAGGCGCATTTGTGTTTATTCAGCACCCCCAGAGCCCACGTGTGGTTTATACTGCAACTATGCTGAGCAGACCTTAGTTACAGTTTCTGGGAAAGAGCATGTTATCTAGCATGATCAACAATTTGAACAAGGCTCAAACCCTCGGCCACGATGATTTGTCACTTTGTGCTAGCACAGCTATCGACAGCCCCCAAGGTTTCTGTCTAAACCATTTCACTCACTTCAGTCAACCTGTGGTTTGGTTTTCAGGCACTTTCCAAAGGTTCCACACACTGGGATCAACCCTTCCAGTCTGATAACATCAGAAAGTTGCCTGACAAATCAACCATGGTAAGATTCAAACACAGGCCTCATGGTCAGAATGCAAACATTCTAACCATTCGACCATGTGCCCAATATTATTTTATTAATGCCACTACTCAATGTGCAACATTTTATATTCATATGTGTAAGTCCATAAGACAATTTTTAATATAAAGGTTGAAAGTAGACCTAAAAATATTCTGTTACTATGCAACTAATAATTTACTAGTATTTATAGTTCTTCTTTTGAACTTTCAACCAGTATTTAAATTACATAGTATTTTTTTTTAAGAGTAAATATTGAATTTTAAGTTCAAGTGTGAGAAAGTGTTTAAAAAAAAAATCATTCAAAATGATTTCATCAATCTTAATTTTTTTCTCAGCCATTGTAACCATACAATACATTTAATATATTTCTTGCTTGTATCAAATTTTATACACGTTAAATGACTGATAAATAATATTGTTAATTTACTGGTAATGATAAAAAGCCTACCTCAAGGTATTATCCTTCATATATCGTGTTTTTAAAAAGAAAAAAAAACCTGCCATTATTTTTTTATTCATTTTCTTATCTAGGCGACATCACATTGAAACATCACTTACTGTACGATCACTGAAGTTAAGCAATGTCAAGCCTTGTCAGTACCTAGATGGGTGACTGCTTGGGAATACCAGATGCTGTAAGCTTGGATGTGCAAGTGGTGTAATGGATAATGGCTTCGAATTTTTAATTGGGGAGCCAAGTTCCAATTCCACTTGGGTTTGTTATATTCATTTACACACAAATAGCCTTGGGAAAGATATGAATACACCTCTTCTCCCTCCAGCTATGGGTTAATTAGTATCACTAAAAAACATTATCTCAAAAAAAAATTCTTATAATCTAAAAATATTTGCTGGTGTTAAATAACCTAAGTTGGTAAGCTATAGAAAATAAATCAATTATTTCTTATGTTCATGGACTAAGAAAAATAAATTGATTTTCTTAAAAACTAATACTTTTTCCGTTTTCAATTGAAAAGCCAAGCAAAAAAGTCTCTATCTCATCTAAACTTTTTTTTCATTTTATACTAAGTTTGACTTTGAACTTTTATCAAGAATTATCAAAATCTTTGGTTAGTGTAAGCGCAAATTATAGATACAAAAATAAAATGACCAATTTGTTTCTACACATGGAAAACGTGGTATACAGTTTTGAGTGAATATATATGTACAAATGCTGTACAAAATTTTTCTTATACCTTCAGCTTTTGTGAAAATTTGGCATGTAAAATAATTTTCCTATTTTTAAGAAAGGTGTCGGTAAAAAGAAAAGAGGAAAGGATCCTGAAAATGTGATTTTTCTCAGCTTAAACAGATTTACAATTTACATTTAACATAGCAAAAGGTGACTTTTTTGGTTAATCAAAAAATGTTGAAAAATGTCAAACTTAAAGGCTCTTTTCTTTGACCACTTCTCATCAATCTTGGACAAAAGATAGGAAGAACGAAATAAAAAAAAGTAGATGTAAAAAAAAAAAAAAATCCAAGTAAAAAAGAATGACCACAATAAAAGACATGGAAAGGAAAATAGGAATGAAAGAGAAAATAAAAGGCAAAATCGGTGACGAAAGAAGAAGATAAAAAGTAAAAAAAAAAACGGATGAAAAGAAAATTGTTTAGCGATAATGAAGGAAACCGAAAGAGATAAACGAATGAACGGTTTTAAAAAATTGATGAATGAAATTAAGGAAAAAGTAAAAATAAAAAAATCTACAGAAAGAAAATAACAGACTTGAAAAATAATCAAGAAGGAAAGGAGAAAATAAAAGTAAAAAAAAAGAAAAGAAAAGAAATTGGGGGAATATGTCCAAATTTCATTTAAATAATCACATAGTTCTTTCGTTGATACAGACCATGATGATGATGATGATGATTTTTTTTTTTTTTGGTTACTCATCTCTTTGCGTTTTTCATTTTCTTTTCGTTCTTCTTGTCTTTCATTGCCTCAATAAAACAAACAAGCAACAACCGTAAAAAAGGCCTTTCCCCCATACCTTCTTGCCTCCACCCATCATCCTCACAAACCACCATATCGGAATTAATCCGTAATTACAAGAGAGAAAAGAACAGAGAAGAGACTTGGGTTCATCTTTTGCTGCTGCATCATAGCTTCGGGCTGTGCAGAGATGAGGAAGGACGAAGAAAAGAAACAAGGAGAGAAATGACGAACACTTGCAAATAAATATGCCTGGCTTTATGCTGGTAATAATAATAATGATGATGATAATGATGATGATAAGTTGCAGTGAGCGATTTCCATGAGACCCGCTCTATCTTAGTAGTTACTGTCAAAAGCAACATGTAGCTAATCTTCTTCTTCTATTCCCTCTAACTTTCTTTCTCTTCATTGTGGCTTCCGTGTCTTCTTACATTAATCGTTCTTTCTTTTTTCTTTCTTTTACATTCCTTTAGTTTTCTTTTTTATTGCTTTTTTTTCATTCCTCCTCTTCTTCTCTAAATAATGGTTTTTAAATTTTCTGCGACCCTTTCTTTTTCGTTTTCTCTTTTTCCTCCTTACTCTCTTGTCTTCTTTTTCAGCTTTACTTTCTCTTTTATCTTTGCATTTTTTTCTTTTTCTTTTTTACATTTCTTTCTTTCTTACATTTCTTTCTTTTTTACGCCCTTCTGTGTTTGCTTTCCATCACATCTTTCTCATTCATTTCTTTTTCCATTTCATTAATTTCTTTTTTCTACATTTCTTTGCACTTTGTTCTTTTTCCTTTTTTATTCTCTTTATCCTTTCTTTCCTTTTTCTTTATCTGACTTCATTTTTAATTTCTTTCCTCGTCTTCATTCTTCTTTTTACTCTGCTTTCTCTCTCTAATCAAGTTTTCTCTTCATGTTCCTCATTTTCAATTATTTCGTTTTTTTTTCTCAATTTTCACCAGGTTTATTCATTCGCCTTATTTTCCACTCTCTTTCCTTTCCTCTTCCTTCCTTCCTTTTCACATAAGACTTTTTTATTTAAGGTTCTTTATACAAAATATCACAGTGAGTAGATAGCTATCAAAATTTGTATGTTTTAAAAACGTTTCATTTGTTAAATTAATGTTTGTCTGTTATTTCTTTCAGTTTATCGATTAAGGACGCTGATTTTAGTTAAGACTATAAAGTGTGAGTTACTGATAATAATATCATCACTCTCTCACTGTCGTGTAAATACATAAATATTCATCATAAATCGATTGCAAACTTATTCCTCTTTAATTTAATTTGCATCACAGGCTCCCTTGTTTTTTAAACTTTGTGTCTCATCCCTAAATTTACGATTTCTCTTAACTTTTACAGTATTTTCTATCTGCATTGCTAAATATTCCCCTCTACACCTCTTCTGAAAAAAAAAAAATTAGTTACTTTCAAGTTTCAAAAATCATTCTCTTAATTTCTCCTTTATTTTCTTCTCCCTTAATCTCTCATTTGATTCCTTTCACTCTCTCTTTCTCTCTAGTTTATTCCTCCCAAACCACTCTCTATTTCTCCCTTCACCCCACCCTATATTTCACTTCTTGTCACTCTACTTGTGTTTATCACTTTTCTCACCTTCTTTGTATGAGGGGTGTTGGACAGTTATTTTGAAGGTCTTCTGGGTCAGGTCATGAATTTTCCCACACTGTGTATTATCCATTTTGCTAGATTAGATTATGATTCAACATCCCCATTGCTTGGTTAGAGAGGCTCACCAGTGCAATGAAGTCCCCCCCACCCTTTTTTTTTACTGTTTTAACTATTCTTGTGATTGTAAAATATGTGGTATCACCTGTTAATGTTTACAATGTACAACCACCTCCACACAATTGTTTCTGTTTATATATGTTATCTTTTTAGTTTTTACCTTTGTCTTCCTTCTTTAAATATAACATCTATTAGGAAATTATTAACTCTATTTTGTTCATTCTTCCCTTCTTTTTCTTTTTAAATTTTATTTCCTTCTTTCTGTCCATTATTCACTTTCTTTCTTTTTGTTATTCTTTCTTTATATTTCAATCAGTTTGTCTTAACTTTTGACACCTTTGTAATTGTTTTCATTTTTAATTTTACATTCATCCTCCTTTATTCCCACATCATTTTAATTTTCTTTTTCTTTTTCATATTTATTCTCTTTCTTTCATCTTATTGCTACTTTGTTTCTTTCATTTTTCTCATTCAAATCTTTTTTTTATCCCTTTCTTTATTTCTTTCTTTCAAAGCCTTACTCATTCTTTCTTTTTCTTTTCTTTCTTTCAAACCTGACTCATTCTTTCTTTTGTCTTTGCTATCTTTCTTTCTTCTTTCAAAACCTGACACATTCTTTTTTCCTTTTCTTTCTTTCTTTTTTTTCAAAGCAAGACTCATATATTCTTTTCTTTCTCGTTTATATTATTCTTTCTTTATCTTTCAATCAGTTTGTCTTACTTTTGACACCTTCTTTGTAAATCTGTTTTCTTTTTTTAATTTTACATTCCTCCTTTATATTCTCACAACATTTTAATTTTCTTTTTCCTTTTATCTTTCATATTTATCTCTTTCATCTTTCATTTTTCTCATTCCAATCTTTTTTTTATCCCTTCCTTTCATGTTTCCTTTCATCTTTATTGCAAATCTTATTCAAATATTTCCTTTCTTCTTCATTTATTTACATTTTTTTTCTTTGTATGTCTTTAGCTTTCCTGGTTTGCTTTTTATCTGAACTTTTTTCTTTTTTGATTTTAATTCTTCTGAGTTGTTCTCTTCTAATTTTTTTCAGTCTTTCTTTGAATTCATTCAAGCTCATTTTTTTTTATTCCTTCCTTACATTTAAACCCTTTTCTTTTTACTGATCCCTCCATTACCCATCATGTTTACTTTCAGTAAACCATCAAATTTTATTTTGCACAACATTTCTGTTTCCTCACCCCCATTTTATTTTTACAACACATTCTCATTCCGAGCCACTTTATGTTACCTTCTCTCGACTTAACATTTTCATCCATGCAATCATCCAAGCGAAAAACCAAACCTTTTCAGCATCAAATGAAGGAACTATGAAAATCATGTGGAAAAAGTATATTGCAAAAAAAAGAAATGCAAGTAAAACTAAAAAAAAAAAAACATTGTAAAAACTGAGAAATGTAAGGAAAAAGAAAGAAGGCAAATCAGATAGAGAATGTAAAAAGAATTTGAGAATAAAAGGAAAAAGGAGTGAGAAAATGATGAAAAATGGAAAAATAGAAAATATTTTTTTTAAAAATGGTAGATAAAGAAGAAAAAAAATACGGGCAAAATGAAAGAAGCATTAATAGGGAAATACTGAAGGAATGATTTTTACTGGAATTAAAATGGAGGAAAAAAGAAAAACAAAAGGATTAAAATAGTAATACAAAAATGAAAGAATAAAAGGGAGATAATAAAGAAAAAAAGAAGGAGAATTAAACAAAAGAAAAATACAAGGAAAAACAAAAAGAATCATTGAATAAATGAACACAGAAAAAGAAAAGAAAATCAAAAAATAACAGGTGGGAGATGAGAATAAGTTGAGTAATAAGCAAAAGTGAAATAGAATATCAAAGAAAAGGAAAAAGAAAGGAACCTTGGAAAAAAAAATGAAAAGAAAAAATAAAGAAAATCAACACCAGTGCAAATAATTTTCACTCTTCTTCATGGCAATTGCCGTAGCAGAAAGGAAACTGCACATTGCAGTGAAAAGACTGACTACACTGCAATAAGTAAAGAAAAAAGAATATAAACAGGTAACCTCCGTCCCCTGGGAAGAATTGCCCAAGATACACACAGTGGCAAGTAAATTCAATTTTCACCCTTTCCCAACACCTTACAATCCAGAACTTTTTACCCTATTCTTTGCTCAATGTCCGTCGAGATGCGGGATGAAGAGATCAGAAATGGCAGTGGGTGGAGAGGAAATAACTTCATTTCAGCATCGATATCTCTCGTTATCTATTTTCATTGATGCTTACCACTTTTACGTCCTCATCAATGAGTCTATACCACAATCCCACACACGCATGTCTTTTCCACTCTCTCTATTCTCGTATGATTGCCTGCTTTAGCTTTTTCATCCTCTTCCCATATATGTGTTCATTTACTTTCCTGGCTATCTCTCTCATTTTTTTCATTTTTTGGCACAATATTTTCCTTTTTACTCTGCATCTTTCTCTTTCTACTGTTCATTCTCTCTCTTTCAATTCTAATTTTCACTTTTCCTCTTTATTTTATCCCTTTTTTTTTTTTTACTATTTCTGCTTTTTATTTTTTTCTCTTTTCTTTTCCTCTTTCACTCTATATATTTTTTACCTTTACACTAACCTCATCTCTTTTTTCCTTTCCATGTCTCTTTTCCTCTATCCATTTGTTTTTGCCTCATTTTCTCCTCCTCTTTCTTCCTCCTCTTTCTTTCTGTTCCCTCTGTTATGTTTTACTTAATTCCTTCCTTATTATAGCTTCACATTCATTCTTTTTTCCTTTTACTACTTCTTTTTTCTTGACTCCATTTATCTGTCATTTCATTTTACTCTCTCTCTGCCCACATCTTCTTTCATCTCCCCCACCCAGTTATCTTTTCCTCTCTCCCACCCGTTTCCTCTTTCTTATCTTTTCTCTCTCTCCCACCCATGTGTTCTTTCTTCTCTCTCACCGGCTTCCTCTTTCCTCTCTCCTTTCTCCCGTCTGCTCCTTCCTTCCTCTCTCCTCTCTTCCACATGCTCTTCTTTCCTCTCTCCTGCTCGATTCTTCTTTCCTCACTTTCCTTTCCCCCACCCACATCCTCTTTCCTTATCCCCACCTGATGCTTCTTTCCTCTCTCCTCTCTCCCACCTACTCTTCATTCCTCACTCTTGCCAGCTTCCTCTTTCCTATATTTCCTATCTCCCATCCGTGTGTTCTTTCCTTTCTTCCGCCCACTCTTCTTTCCTCACTCTCACCCGCCAGCTTCCTCTTTCCTCTCTCCTCTCTCCAACCTGCTCTTTCTTCCTCTCTCCCACCTGTATGTTCTTACCTCTCTCCTGCCTGCTTCTTCTTTCTTTTCTCTTACCTGCTTGCTCTTTCCTATCTTTCCTCTTCTCCTGCCCACTTCTTCTTTCCTCTCTCCCACCCAACTTCTTCTTTCCTCTCTCCTGCCCACTTCTTCTTTCCTCTCTCCCACCCAACTTTTTCTTTCCTCTCTCCTGCCCACTTCTTCTTTCCTCTCTCCCACCAACTTCTCCTTTCCTCTCTCCCACCCACTGTTCTTTCCTCACCCTCTTCCTCTTTCCTATCTTTCCTCTTCTCCCGCCCGTGTGTCCTTTCCTCTCTCCTGCCTGCTTCTTCTTTCCTCTCTTCCGTGCACTTCTTCTGTCCTATCTTTCCTCTAGACTCTATAATCTCTTATTTTTTTCCCCTTATACAAATTATTCTGCAACCACCAAACTTACCATCGATCCTTTCTAATTTCCGCATCACACTTCCCAATTGACTTCAATTTACATTATATAGTCTAACCAAGAAAGGCATAGATTTGTTGTCACAAAAGCAACAGATTACCAAAAACAGCCTGTTGTGTTATCAAATATCATTCCATGAGAAATAGAGAGACCTTCTCAAGGGACAAGGTACTCTTTGATTAATTCTCACTGTATAGGTGACTGTTTATTTTGAGTGGCCACAAATAGTAAGTTCTAGAATAGTCTCACCCTTAATGTAGAAAACAAGACATGAATCCTGAAGACTGAGCATATTATTTCAAGTTACTTTCAAAGTGCTCTCTATCAAGTCACCTTACAACCACATTGTTTAATTTACTAAATAGTTAAAAGTATCATTATATTTTTTTCTGAATCAAATTTAACAGAGAAACAATGAGATAGCAAAATAGAAAATTTTAATAAGAAATGTAAAGAAAAAAACTCTTTGTCTTGTATTTTAAGTACTAGCTGAATACCCATCCTATGAACAGAGAAGAGTTAAGTTTTAATAGTTCTCTTACCTCTCTAAGATTTCTGAATAAACAACATTTTTGACAAGACATCTATTTTCTAAGGTTCTTTTTTATATTGTGTTAAGTTTGAATTTCCTAATCTAGATTTTGCTACAAAATGCTAACTATTGAGAGAAATATTTGAATAATTTTCTAAAGTTTATAAAAATTAAGTCAGCAAACTTAATATTTTTTAACTTGTTTAAAGAATTAAGTACAGTTTTAAGAAAATCTCATTAAACAGATTTGGACTTATTGAGATAATTCCATAAAATATTTTCAACTTCATTTGACTAATTTATATTAATGTGAAACAACAACAACAATGCTTATTATGAATGATATACATTTACTAATGACAATTTTCACAAGACAAATATAAATTCTTTCTCTACAAACATGAATTTAAAAATAAAACTTTATTAATAGTGACATTGCTTATATATGGTAATTTAAAAAAAAAATTATATTAGAATTAAATAACACAAATTAAATATTTATTAAAATATGCTTTTAAAAAGTTTTATGCAAATTAAATATTGCTATTTGTTTAGTAATATAGATAAGTCTGGTAATCATTACATGTTAAAAAAAAAATGGACAAAAAACAATTGTATATATTTTCTTGTCATGGGTGTTTTATTAGGATTCCTGTGAATATAGGGTATTATGGTATGTGTTGGATTGAATGGTGATGAATGAGTTCTTGTAGTGTAAGAGTAAATTGTAATGGATGAATGGATTGTGAACTAGATTACACTTACAAAATCACCATGTTAATGCAGTTTGTTTTTATTCTACTGATGTAAGGTGGAGATGCACAGACAAAATTTAATCTTATGCAAATTTATAAAAGATGAAGAACAAATTTCCTTTCAGCTTTGTGACCTCCAACTGATCTTTTACTTATGAATGATTAAATAAAAATTTAGATAAATGTAATAAAATTTTCAACATCATTTTCAAGATTGGCAATATTCTTGTGGCACCATCCCCCATCTATATAATAAATGTGATTGTCAGTGTGTCACACTTTTTCAACTTTACTCCCAGAGGGCATTAGCCCAACATATCATACCATTTTGGAATCAGACCAACTCTGTTAGCAAATTAAAAGCATTCCAGGCCGGATCTGGACCTGCAATCCTGAAATTTAGGATTCCAATGTTTTCAATGCTGCAATTGTTTTTGTCTATTATTATATTTTTTTTTTTTTTTTTTTTCAACAAATTTTTTGTATGATAACAATTTTTATAACTTGAAAATAAATCTGGGAACAATTTAAATTAATTGCAAAATCTAGCGAAACTCACCCATGAAATAAAAATGTTTGTATGGAAAGTAAGGACCTACATACATCAAATTGTCTTTAAATTAAGTGGCAGCAGAAGAATTATCATTAAACTTTTAAAAGTTAAGCTTAAATATTAATGCAATACTTAACTGCAGCGATCAATTTTGAGTTCTTCTGTAGTTTATTGTTGCCTATTGCATTTACTTCTCCCTATCTATTGTGATGAAGACCCAATCAAGATCCCTCCACAGGAGCTAGCTTAAATGCTGCCTGATATGGTGGCTTTTAAGCTAGTTTCTTATAAATACCAAACTGATTCATTAAAATTAATATCAGCTTTTTGTGTTAGGTACAAACACACAAACAAGAAAAATATTATTTTTAGAAAAAACTGTCAAGGTTAAAATGGTGTGATTCAAACTAAAACACACTTTGAAATCATCAGTGACCTTTGTTATCTTGTGATAAGTAATATATACAAAATAATAAAAAATAAAGAGCAAGCAAATTTTTTATTTTTTTAATCCATTATTAATATGAAAATAAAACTATTTAAAACATCTGACATCGTTTATAAATAAAATTATTTTAAAATTGTTATAAATTATTCTTAGGTGCAATATGTTTTTTTGTTTTTTTTTAATCTGATAAAATGTAGAAAAGGCTGTAAGAATGTTTCTTTAATTTCATGATAACCTTCATCCAGCAGCAAGGCCTGTGATCAGGATGTTGGAGGTTTTGAGGCATGTGGAGCCACCACTTAATTGCTGTTGTTCCCGTGTTCATCCTAACCTGTGGTGGTAGAATCTTTTAGGGTCCCAGTTATGGACAAATAATGAATCCCTGAACAGAAACAAAACACTATGAAAATATAAAAGTACCAGCAATATACTTTTATATATAAAAAAAAAAATTACCAATGATACATATTTATAGTAAAATGACCAATGATACATTTTATCACAAATAAAAAAATTGAAATTGACAAGTTTTTCCATTTTATGGAAGCATACGGTAAACACATGAGAGCATTATCATTTCTACTTTCTTTCTCTTTCTTCCTTTCACTGAAACCAAAAAGCATCTCTATTTTTTTTCCATCTTTGCTCTCAGTCAAAATATAATAATCTATTATTTATGAGAATTTGTCAAGGCATACCATAAATGGTTATTAACTAAGGAACAAGCAGAATTATAATGACTTTTTTTTTAATAACTTTTGGGACATCCTCTATATTTATTGTTCATCTTTAAACAGTAATCTGTAAACTTAGATTCCTTGAAAACAATTTAAGTATGTTCATGTGTACTAAAAGTTTAGAGACTCTCAGAGACAAAGTCTAAAAGAAAGGCACCGAAAATGATAAATACTAAGTGGGAAAACTGATCAACATTTCTGAAGAGATTTCAAAAATATTTACAGATATGCAGTTTTGCTTTTTGTGGAATAAAACTTTACTAAATTAGAAGTTTTCAAGATAGATAAATGTTGATAATAATAAGTTTACCAAAACTTATTTCTCAATTTTGATAAATGGAAATTAGCATTCAGTATTACTTGAAAATAAAACCTTTTTCATTTAACAGTTTTATTTTTTGGTAAAAACATGAGAAACTTTTAAAAATAATCTGATCACTTTTTTTCTTTTTTTTTTTTTGCCACCTGAACATTTCCTTCTTATCTGAAAATTACCTCAGACAAATGAAGACAGTGAAGATTTTTCAGATGGATACACATTCATTTTGTTATCATGTACTTACTCTTAATTGATGACAAAACACCACAGTCAGAACTGGATTCATGCCTTTCTCCACCCTGTTAGTATAACAGCTTGGGGTAGAATCCTCAACTGATGCAAATTCAGCCGGGTTTCGATCCTAGCTAGAGGCAACTGGACATCTAGCCACACTGATGAGCTGTGATACAGAGAAACAGTCTGTCTGTGGATGACAATATATATATATATATATATATATATATATATATATATAAATAAAGTGATTACATGAATGTATGTCATTAAATACCACTGTAATCTTTTATATCCTTCATGTTTATACTTTACTATATATTTTTTTTAATTGGCATCACCCCATGCAAGAGAGTAAAACCACTAAGACACAAGGAGATTACTGGCTGTAGAAGAATTAGGAACAGAAACATTAATAATGAGCAGGAAGAGGAAAGAGTAATCAAGAAGACAGTAGATAGTGATTGACATTGCATTTAGATTTTTGCAGATTAAAGTTGGCTGGAAAGCATGCATGGAGCCAGAAGGCCAAAATGGGGAATAGGCATAAGCCAAACTTTTCTTCTTGCCAGTCTAGTACGTTTAACAAAGAATCTAGCCACAAACACTTATTTAAACATATCACAATATTAAAAACGTGGCACAAGGCCAAAATGGGGAATAGGGAAAAGAACATTCTTCTTGTCTTAACGTTTAACTTAGCTAGCCACAAACACTGACCCAAACATATCACAATATTCCTTACACTCAAACAACACAGTCTTACTACATCCACCATAATACCTCATTGTCTCTCTACAAAAGTCCTAACTAGTCCCCATATGTACAATTCATTGTCTGTGGGAGGGGGAAATAAAACAACAATTTAAAAAACTAACCCCAATGAGTATTTACAATATGAATACAATCTATTTACAAGAAACTAAAAATAATGTTAGTAATAACCCCACTCTCACCCAACAGCCACAATCCTTAAATGTGGCAGAAACATCAGTTAACTGCATGAAATCAATGCAGGACTTTGAAACATTCATTGATCCAACATGCTCACTCAACCACACACTCATTAAAATACAACAACAAATACGAAAATCATATGCAAAAAAAAAGGCACCCGCACTCACGAGAGATCTGAAATCACTCACCACCTAATGAGGGAGGGGATGGAGAATTAAACCATAGCAAAAAGCGATATTTATTCTGTTAATACAGAAATGTGGCACATGGCAAAAGGGGGATTGGGGAAAGGACAGTCTTGTTCTGTCTTAACTATAACTTAGCTAGCTGCAAACACTGACCCAATCGTACGAACAATATTCCTTACACCAAAACAACACATTCATACATACCTTTCTTACTACAACCACCATAATACCTCATTGTCTCTATGAAAATACTAACTAAACCCCATATTTACAATTCATTGTCTGTGGGGGGAGGGTAATAAAACCATA